CTTTCTACTTCTTGACTTTTTTTAAAAATGTAAGGAGTAGAAGTAAAAAGTAGGCTGAAAAATAATTACTCAAGTAAAGTACAGATACCCAAAAATTCTACTTAAGTTCAGTAACAAAGTATTTGTACTTAGTTACTTTACAACTCTGTTCRCGTTGGACAAAATGTGGCTTTAAGAACTTAAAAAAAAAAGATCTTACCTGCTGCAAACAGAAGTTCAAAAGCTTGATAATTTCAAAAACGAAACTGGGGGTCTTTTCAGGATCGATGTTCTCCATATTCCTGCAAGAAAAACAAAAGTACCACCAACGCCAATAAGCTGCCTGTCAGTAAACAGTCAGAATAATCAAAACCCAGAGCAGAGGTCCCTCACACAACAGTCCTGAATACATCCCACCAAGCAGACACGTGGGGCCCAGTTCTGGTTTGGTTTATGTGGAGCTGGCCAAATACTGGACCACGTCTAGCAAACCAAAGGGCCAACACTCTTTGCGGTATCTGGGCCGAGTGTTAGAGTGTTTAGGTCCTCGTGTGGGCCTGAACTGGGGACGTGTCTATTAGGGACATGATGAAAGGTCATAATGTCGTCCATGGGGCAAAACAGTTCAACTAAACATGAAAAACCATGAAACTGCATCCATCATGTGTGGAGAACTGGCCAGCTGATGACAACCAGCCCATCAAACCATTTAATGACCAGAGTAACAGACTTCACCAAAACTACTCAAGATTTCTTTGGTACAGGTCACGTGTCAAATTCATGAAGTTGATTTGGATCCGGACCACAAAACCTTTTTTTTAAACTTAATTTACTATGTAAAAAAGTTTTTATATCATTGTTAAACTTTAAAGTTATGATTCAATGCAACAAAATAAACACATTTAAAAAGCAAAATAATAAGTAACTAGACATGGGTTTTTACGATGTAAAAACAAGTGTGCATTGCCTTGTAGCATGCCTTTGCCTGCAGCAGTGGACTTGCAGAATGAGCTGTGAGCAAGTTCAAATGTGATTTCTATACTAGCTTGTGCCTGTCACGTCAGCAGGTGTTTGTAATCAAGGTAGTTGTGTGACAATATGAAGTTTGAAGAGATTTTTAGTTAAAGTTGCTGTATCTGGATTTTGAACCCTGATCTCCCACATGAAAGTCCATGGCATTAACCATGAGACCATTGGAGCTGTGTGAAAGCACAGTCCCAGTGTTTTTTCTGTGTAGAAAGAGGCAACATTGCCAATGACGATCGTTGACACAAAGCTGTAATATATTACAATAAAGCAATATTATATACTGTAAGATGTAAATGCTTACAAGGCAATATTATAGTAAAACATCAAAATACAAAGAAATTAGTATTGTAATCACTGAAGTACTGAGTTTAAATATTATTAAAGTATGGTGCAGTACCAAGCTGAGCACATAAATCAGGGGCAGTATTGGACCAATACAAGGCTCTATTGACACCCATTAATAAAGTTTAAAAATTAATATTTCAAAAAACTGTAAGTTGTACAGGCACCAAAAAGCATAGCCTGCATTTGGCACATGAACTTTACAGATATAAATTACAACGGCAGCTCTAAGACAAAGTATTTAGGATGAGAAGCGTGCCGAAATAGAGGATGACTTGGATGGGGAACTAATCACAATAGTGTACTGATGATAATAAGCTTTTGGCTTTGAGTAACTGTGCCCCCCCCCCCACCCCCGGGCCATTTTGTTCAACAGTCCTGTATTAATGTCACACAATAAGCTGCTTTAAAGCCAGCATTAACCACAAACTACATTTCCCATAATGCATGTTGATTATGCATGAAAATTCCCTGTCAGGAACGGGGAGAGTTCAGAATTCAAGACAGCAGCACCTCACCACAACTCAACAGTGAGTAAAACTCTCTTACTTTTACTTTCAATAGTATTTCTGTACTTCACGTTTAGTCAGTCATACATGTAGTACCTTTCAGTGTTTATAGGATTACGTGTTAAAACACTGTTTCTATGCAGGAAATACCAGTGCCCTGAAATAATGTATGTTGTGACTTGGCGCTATATAAATAAACTGAATTGAAAATGACACAAATAACTTCTGAAATGTGCTTTAACTCCCGCAGCGGAGCAAACCATAAAAAACGTGTTTAACGATGAGGACGGTGCGAGCTCACCTGCAGACGATGATGAAGAACTTGATGAGCAGCAGCGGGTGGGGGGTGCTGCCGTTGGGCTCCATGGAGCTGCTGAGGTGGAGCGCACTGTGCCATAGCTGGGTGCTGAGGAACACCAGCACCTCCCTGGGGAGCAGCGGCACCTCCGAGCCGCCCTCCTCCAACCTGGGAGACAGGAGACAGAGGTAAACCACACACACGCACGCACGCACGCACACACCTGGTGAATCAGTGGCCGTGCCAAACCCACCTCCGAGGCTCCAGCGACTGCACGTCAACGAGCCTCTCAAAGGACGCCACGAACGCCTCGAGCCACTGCTGCAGGTAGCTGACGTCTTTCTGCAGAGGGGAAGGAAGGAAACAAGAAAACAACCCTGTGAGACAGCAGACTCATCCCCCATCGGCCTCGGGCAGAAACGCCCCGAGTCAAAGAAACAGCAGTCGCCCCTTTTGAAAATCCAAAACAACAAAAAAAATGTGACTTTTTGTGGCTTGTTGAGCTGTCAGATTGAGCGTTTTACTGAGACGCTGCGGCCGAAAAGATGAAACCTTTTGACCTGCTTTTGTAACAGGATGTTGCAAAGTGAGATGCAGCGTGAAGCGAGGAACACATGAGCCAATTCTTTCCTTTTTCAACAGAGTTTTAAAAAAATGAGTTTTGACAGAAAGCATGCAAAGACTGTAAGGGTGCGTCAAGGTGGACACCTCGAAGAGACGTCTTCTACAAGACTGGCTCTTTTGCGTTGTTGTTTTGAGCCATGTGAGGCGAGGATGTTTATGTTCGATTGTTATCGTGGCTTCAATCAGCCTCTGCAGTGCAACATATCCTGCCGCTCTTCCCTCCRCGCAGCAGCTCTCGCAGGTCTCAAGACTCTAAACTTTCTTCTGCCTTAATGAAGCCGAGGCCTCATTAACACGTCAACAACTCCCGTGCTTCAAAGAGACAAACGAGACGAAGAATGTTCCCTGACGTATAACGATGAGAACAGACGGGAGGAAAGCGTGAGCTGTTTCAGACAGACTTAGTCACTGCATGCAGTTAACACACAGAAACCCTTCAGCGGGCATTTCCCCCGAAAACCAAGCAAGTCAACGAGTGATGTGATCACCGGTTGTGCAGCCGGACAATAACGTCCCAATCTACCCTACAGGATGGTCTCTAACGTTCAAAGCATGAGTCTTACCAACTGGCATGGATTTAGGTGCCAGTCCATCTCTCATTGTCTGAGTCTGAGCCGGGTGCCAGGTTCTCACGAAACCCAGTCTCAGGTGAACCTTCAGCGTGGACCGTGGCGAGCAGCAGACGCACATCCCTCCAGACCAGCGCCCTACTTCTTTTTCTCTTCACCCGATCACCTCCCGACTTCCAAAAAAGACGTCAAGCGAGCAAACCAGGAAATTACATGTCGCTTTAAGTGAGGCGCACTTCCTTCAGTGCTTGGGCCTCYTCATCAACCCCCCCTCCCTCTATGGGTGTAGAAAGGAGAGACCAAAAAATGAAATAACTTCCCACAGCAACAACAAAGAACTGGCTTATATGTTCTAAATATAACTCATCAAAAACAGGCTGCAGGATAAACTGCAGACTTTACTTTTTTTGTTGCATGTCTGGAAAAAAATTTGATTTTTACAGTTAAACTCTGTTTTTAACAAACCAACACACTGCCCAGAACATCAACACAAACCAGCTTCCTTATCAAAAGCTCAAAAGTTAAAAAATGAGACTAAAATTTGATGCACAAATTGTATAAAAGTAGAAGACGCCAGCGGTTCATTAAGGTCATCGTGGTTACTGAAATGCATGTCTTTTGCTTCATGACAGCATATTTAATTAGACAGTCAGACAGAAAACATACAAGAAAGTAAGCCTCAAATAGTCACKTACATGAAAAAACTCTGCTGATAAAAATCCAAAACTAAGTGTGACAGAAAACTGATGGTGCGTTATCAGTGGCTCTAAGACAAAGGAAGGCAATTCTGGTCCTCAAGCACCACTATCCTGCATGTTTGTCTCCCTGCTCCTCTGCACCTGATTCAGTGACTGAATTACCGCCAAGTTCTGCAGAAGCTTCAAATCACCATTCAATCAAAACAGGTGTGTTGGAGCAGAGAAACAAGTAAAACATACAATTTTTTTTTTGGGGGGGGGGGGAGCATTTAATGAGAAAAGGAGTGTAGATGTGGGCACTCTGAACTCTGGGTGGATTTAAGAGAAAACTCGAAGCTCTACAGGAGTCAGAGGTACGATAGAGTATTAGGGCCACACAATGAGATTTTTTTTAAATTACGAGAATAAGTCATAATATTAAGATATTACAAGATAAATAAAGACAATATTTAGACAATATATATATTATATATATCCATTTATTTATATATAGATATTATATACA